GAGAAGATTAGCATGGCCCCTGCCCCAGGATGACACACAAAGTATCAAAAAATGGTCCAAAATTGTCCAAGTTAAAGAAAAAAGGTCATGTCACACATACAGAAGTACGGAGGCACAGGAGCACAGCACAAAGTGTTTTGACACAACCTTTTGCCAGGCCATGAGCTGGGACGGTTGGATGGGTGGATGAAAGGACGGAGGCATGGACATACTGACACATATCACATAACAAAGAGTGCATTGTCATCCTTTGGGACATCCGTTAAAACTTAAATTGGAATGGTACAGAGAAAGAAGATTAGCATGGCCACTGCGCCTGTCGTCAAGATCCGCCACTCTCACCACTTTGAGGCCCCTGAAAACTAAATCACCACAACACACAAGAGTAGCATGGTCCCCGCAGAAGTTCCATGGCATCACATCAGGTCATGATCACCCAGACAGAGAACAGGCGCAAGCACTATATCTTGAAGCCCAAGGAGCCTGAACTCTCAGTGATGTCATGGAATGTCAATGGACTAGCTACAATCTTGTCCAACATAGACAACCGGGACGATTTGACCAACTATCTTAGAGCATACTCACACTAGGCCCTCAAACTCGCAAAATCACAAAATGAGCGGCCAGATGAAGTACTTGTAAAGGAAGAATTAGATCTGGCCGCTCATTTTGGGATTTTGCAAATTTGAGGGCCTAGTGTGAGTTTGCCCTTAGATGATTCTCAAAAAGCCCCCCCGGACATTGTATGCCTGCAGGAAACCCATCTCACTGAATCCTCAGAACACAAAGCTATAATTATCAAAATCTTACTAAGACAAAAAAATGTGTACGAGCTGCATGCTCGGCCCCAACACCAAGGGCTGGATCAGCTGGAGTAGCAATCCTTTGGCATAATAACTCAAGAGCTTCCAACTTAATACAAATAGAACACAATACATGGCCGATGGATAGAATCAATCTTCACGTTCAAGGAAGAATCCTTCCAACTCATAAACGCTTACACCCTGAATGACTTTTCACAAAGACAAATCTTTATCCAGAGCATAGCAGAAATGTGTATTGGTCAGAAACACTTAGTCCTAGCAGGAGACTGGAACACAACCCTCGACCCTGCTAGAGACAGACTATCATGCTCTCAAGGGGAAAGGGAAAGTCAGCTGCAAATAGAGTCCCAAGCAATGGACATATTATTAATGGAAGACACCTACTTGAACCCCTTAGAATGCTCCACCCAGAGATGAACAGATTCACTTATAGGAAAAAAATAAAACCCAGCACATTACTTACTCAGCCATAGACTTTTTTTTCTAGTATCAGAGTCCCTTAGAGGCTCTATACTTAACGTGGGTATAGGAAAACTACCCTACCACAATGGCCTAGACCACAGCCCAATCTTCATAGACATTATATTTGACTCCGGGCTACAAAAAGGACCAAGCTTCTTCAAGATCAATAACTTTATACCATACTTGCGGCGCATGTATGCGCTGCGCATCCGCGGGGCGCCATGCGCGCGAAGCAGATGCGCGCGCATCGCGCATCTGAGTGCGCCATGCGCCATGCGCACATCTGTATGCACCGTGCGCTGGTGCGCGCGCAACTGCGGGCTGTTCCCCTGGGTGGTGCGCCAGATGCGCCGC